ATATATTTTATTTCTGCAATCAATCATATGCTCTACTTAGGAGGTATTAATGTTTAATATCATTTGGAAACAGTGATTGTTAACACGCACTACTCACATCAGATCGCTGCACGTCTTGGTCTCCTTTATATGCCCACGGTCGGTAAAGCTTACCGAGTGCCACCGCGTAGATGGAAGCTGGCTGTGCTTTGTGTGTATCGTTCCAAAAGCAATGAGCGGCTATAACAAATAGAAAACAATGTCAGAATCTTCTAGGTGAATAATCCAGATGTCAGTATGGTGCAAATCAGATTAAATAATATAATATGTATATTTAATGATAATAATGGGATTGATGTTAATATCTTACCCGAAATGACCACTTTGGCACTGACGAGAGATCCTCCACAGATTTGCATGTAGGGCGTGGTAGTCTTTCTATAAATGCCGGCGTGCCAGGGTAGCTCGCCTCTTTCCGCCGGACGACCACCGATGATCAGGTCTATGCCTTTCGGCACCACGCGTCCACATTCTAACAATTTAATATTTGTTGGATTTATTTCAACGATGATAATATAGTTTATACAGGCAGATCTCGACTTACGTCGTTTCGATTTACGTCATTTCAAGTTACGTCAAACAATGTTTTGACACTGTTCCTCAAGCATACGTCAATTGTTTCTATTTTCGGCATACGAGAATTCGATTTTCGCGTAGACAATGTGGGTTTTAATGTTAATAACAAAATTTTTTCAGCCTATTCGTTTTACCAAGACCTGTATGATAGCAAGAAGAAAGAAGCGAAGCAATCGATAATTAATAGTTTCTTTAAGCCAAAAGTTTAATTTATTATTTCTCATTGCATATTTTGTTTATTAAAGTTTTACTATTATAATAAAAATACCAAAAATAACTAGCAATTTCGTAAGTACATCTATAATTATTTTAAGTTTAATTACATACTTTTGATATTAAAGTATGTATATCCTTTGTTATAAATGTAGTTAGTTGTGTATTTTGAATCCGCGTGGAACCTAGCCCTTGAGTTTGACATGTAAACATATCATAAAAAAAATATGTCTCGACTTACGTCGTTCCGCTTTATGTCGCGTATTTCGAGAACCTAACATGCCGTAAGTACGAGGACTGTCTGTATACAATATTGGTGTGTAGGTTAAAAATGTTAATTTTTATAATCATTAAATAGATAGCGCAATGGTTAACGCGTTTGTTCTGCGATGAGCAAGTTAAATAACATTCTCAATGACCGATCATAGAATGGGTGACCAAAAATTTTATATCTCGAGTACTGCGCTAATCAATACAATATTGGGTTAATTAATGGGTTAAAGCAATGTTTGTTTATATAATCCATTGAAATGTTCACTTATATGAAGGGTTCACTTATACGACGGCCTTGGCCTTATACAAGAAAAACCATTTATTTATTACAATAAAATTCTGTTCCGCAAAAAATTGTTGAAGCTAAGAGTTAATCTCGGCTCTTAGTTCTTTTATTCTTATTTTTATGGGCTTTTGAACTTAGTGTTCATGTCAGCCCAATCATAACCAAATATATAAATAAATTATAGTCAATCACTTTAAGCGTGTTGATTACTACATTTACTTGCTGTTCGTTTTATAATTAATTAATAAGTTATTTTTTTATAACAGATACCTAATAGATCAAGAGATATGTAAAGTACAGCTGTCGTATTACCGAAATCATCACAAGTTTATTTATATTTCTCGTTGTCTTATTAAAAGTAAAAGTGAAAACACAGGGTAAGTATTTGAAATATATTTATTGATGTTATTAGGACGGTGGATGCACAGGTAAAATAAAACGACATTTTATTGAACAGAATTATATTTAGAAACCATCCTAATAACACCAAAAATATATTATCACAATAAAATCTAAACTATACATTAGCACTTGGGTTATATTTTGGAATTTACAACCAATATATTAAATATACTGTTTTTTTTTACAAATGTTTAATTGCTGTCTGCATCCTAACTGTTCAGTCAGTAACGTTTCAAGTTCAACATAATTTAGATAGAAAACACCATTGATGGGTTACGGTTTATTTAGATAGAAATTTAGATTGAAAATATCATTGTTGTCTTACGGTTTTAATTTTATCTCTTTTTAGCAAAGATCAAAAGTTTACTACAGACGACAACGATCCACCGTGTATTCAGATGACTTGTGCATTATGATGAGCATGTTTACCCTATCCTATACACGCGGTCGTGATACGTTTGGCATACGATACTACGATAATAAGGATGATGACTAATTTTTGTTTGTTTGTCCGTCAGGTAGAGTGTTAAAAAATATTAAACACGTATTTTTTTATTTTTTTCCTAATCATAAAATTACGGCGTTACATGGAGTTGAAATTTCGCATGACGTCACGTTAGAGTACGTTTTCTACTCAACTGTGACGTAGCGAGCCTTTAATGCCTGTTATCTATACTACTTCTTGTTAAATTGAAGTAAAAAAAAATACGTATCTAATATTTTTCTATTATCTGACTGACGGACTAAATAGAATTGCATTTTTTTACCCAGTCATCATCCCTATTTTAATAGCTACCGCCATCACCAGCCTATTAATATATCCACTGCTGGTGCTCAGGTCTTCCCTATGGATGGAATCAAATCAAATCGAATGGGGGAGAATGGACCATGACCACCACCCGGCCCCAGTGAGTATTGGTGGGTATTTACGACTGCCGATGCAACTGGGTCCAATGGCGTAACGTGCTCGAGATAATCTTTTTGATCACCCATCCTATGAGTAACCGTTGCGAAAGTTGCTTATCAATCGTATCGCAGATGGATCGCGCTAACCACTGCACCATCGAGCTCCTCAACAATTATACCAAAACGATTATGCCAAAGTGTATAAGAAATAAGTAATAATGATGCTAAAAGAAGAGATTGCAGAAAAATATACCTATCATTGGGGTTAAATTATCAGATTAAATGTTTCGAAATCATTTTTCTTGTTATTGTCCTCGTCTAACCTAAATTCGATAAATATATAAAAAGGGTCCGCTAAAGGTAACACTTTTTACATTACCTAATTTTTCAAGCAATTTGCAGTCCTATTCCAATCACTTTCGAAAATGACTCTGATTTCGACACTAAAACGTTGCCAAAAAAAAGAAAATATTTTTAACAGCGTGTTAGTGACGCTGTTAAATAATATTTTCTTTTTTTTTAAATACTTTAACATTTTACTGAAATAACTGTTATAAATTAACTCATGGTATTTACTTATAGCATGAAGTTAAACATGTAGTAAACAATTATGTAATACTTGTTATATCTTTGGCAAATGTTAATTAACACATTGTTATTTGGTTCACTGAAATGTATAGTTAAGAGTATTATTGAAATTACCTAAAAATTATATATCTAAAAATATATGTAGGTATCACGATAAAATAATTATTATTATCGGCATTTGACGATGCACAGCATCTGTGAGAGAGTGCGTCGACTTCCGGTCTAGCTACTTCCGTTCTTTACACTTACCCCCACTATGGTTGTCATGGCAAACTCATTTAAATTAATAATTGGATTGACTTACTTGCATTTTTAGTCACCTTAGGAGTGTCTGGTGCACTGAGTCCTCATAGCGTCGTCAACTTTCGTGCTAGCAATATTATAAGCAGATATTCTGCTAAATATTTACACCAGGGGGGAGACTGCATTGCCGGCAGCTACAAAGATATTGTCGAAAACTAATTCGATCAACAGGTCAGTCAAAAACTGTTACCTCAGAAATAATGACGGACTTGAACTGGTGGAAGACGACAATAAAAGAAGGTCTGACAAGCAGCCCCTTACACGAGATCCCTGTACAACATTTTTTGACGACAGATGCGACGGATTACGGCTGGGGAGCTCATTTAGAGCAGGCAAGTGGAACCAAAATCAAATAAATTGGCATTGCAACTTGAAAGAAATGTTTGCTATAATATCCGCAGTGAAACACTCCAACATACCTTAAGAACTCGTCATGTAATTCTGCAGTCGGACAATCGAACCGTAGTTGCTTACATCCGAAACGAGGGGGGGACAAAGTCAGGAGCGCTACTGGAATTGACCCACGAGCTTTTTCAAATACTCTATCAATTGAATATAATACTCACGGCGGAATACCTGCCCGGCCGATACAATCAGATAGCAGACAGCTTGTGGCAAGAAATCTACGGAATGGCATCTACTACCAGAGGCATTACAATCGATCTTTCAGAAGTACGGGACACCGGAGATAGACCTTTTTGCACCAGAGAACACGAACGTGGTAACAGCTTATTTATCCAAAGATGCGAGCGACTCTTCAGCAGTTTTCTGCAACGCCTCAGCAAAAGTTGGAACTTCAATTTGGCATGGGTTTTCCCACCACCTTTACTGATGCCCAGAGTGCTAACTCATCTGAATCAAGCACAAGGTACGTACCTGTTAGTAGCATCACTTTGGAAACGAACCTACTGGCTACCCGATCTTCGATACCGCGCGTTAGCACGTCCCATGAAAGTAAAGAACCTACACCGTGTTCTGACAGATCAGGTAACAGGACTACCACCTCCTCAAGTCCAGGACATGAAGCTTTTTGTATGGAAAGTTGGGGGTGGGCCGAAGCAATAAAGAATTGGACAGAAACTGAGAAAACATTGCTCAAGCACAGTTGGAGGGAATCTACTCTCAAGTCATATAGACCAGCCTGGCTTCGCTGGACCCAATGGTGTAAGGACTTCAATTTTGATTACAGATATCCTAATAGTGATTCTCTTTCAAAATATTTAGCACATCTCCACTTTAAAGAAAAAATGTCTTTCTCAACTATTCTATTGCACAAATCTGTTATTTTAACTTAGGGCTCCCCTAGAGAAGATCTAAATTCAAATTTCTGTGTAAAACACATACTGAAAGGAATTTCCTTACAGCAACCTTCAACTCAGAAAGCTCCTACTTGGAATCCATCTGACCTGAATTCCTGGTTAAGCTCCAATTCACCGCTGCAGCTAAACCTGTTTGAAGCTTCCCGCAGACTAGCTTGTATATTACTATTAGCAAGGGTGCATGATTTAACATTATTAAGTGTCTTGATTAAAAATTTTCAACCAGTTCAATGAAAATATTATTTATAAAACTTTCTATAAAATACCTATGAAATGTTTACAATGGTAACATTATGCATGAATTAATGTTACATGTATAAGTATAATAGTTAATGATTTTGTTGTAATTATAACATAATTATAAGTAAATAATAGGTGGACAAATTTGTCCAAAATATTAAAATGTTATTTTGTTACTGTTTTACATCGATTAAACGTAATAAAACAGGATGGCACCATCTTTTCAATTGCATAACCTAACAAATATGTAAAAGTTATGTTTCAGGCACATTAAATATAAAAAGGACGAATAATCGTCGTCACATAGCGTCAGCAGCATCCCTAGTCACCAGGAGCTAATAAACACATCTCTCACAGATGCTGTGCATCGTCCCATGCCGAAAATAGTACAAGTTTTACATAATAATAAAACTTGTATTATAGAGCAGAGACGATGCACAGCATCCAATAAAGGTCTCCTAGTGAGAGACTCGATGAGGACTCAGTGCACCAGACACTCCTAAGATGACTAAAAATGGCGCCAACCGGAAGTAAGTCAATCCAATCATTAATTTAAATGAGGTTGCCACGACAACCATAGTGGGGGTAAGTGTAAAAGAACGGATGTAGCTAGACCGGAAGTCGACGCACTCTCTCACAGATGCTGTGCATCGTCTCTGCTCTATAATATAAGTTTTATTATTATGTAAAACTTGTACTATTATAGTCTTCAGTAAGTAACAATAAATAACATGTGTAATAAATAACGTATATTCAAATATATATAAAGCAAACGAATAATAAAAAACTTTTGAGGTACCAACAAACATAAATCTAATAAAAAAAGTTTTTGTAATAAAATTAATATGACACACATCTAAAACGCAAGTTAAGAGGTAATTGACATCACTTCAATTAAATCTCAACTACCTAATATTCTTTATAGTACTTTGAATATCCCAAAAAGGAACCACTGATAATAGTGGATAAGGATTTAAGAGTATCTTGCTTATTATCTTTAATTCATTATAATACCTGTGAGCAACTGGAGTATTATCAAGATTAGTTTTCATCTCTGGCGTTTAGTATAACAGTGCTATTGGATATATTTAAGTTAAAAACGTGACTGGTCCCTGTGGTGTCTTTACTGGCAGGAAATTTCACTTCAGAATTATCGTTAGGATTAGCAGTAGTCATAGGAGTTGTATCAAAATTAGGCTTTCGGGTAAGCCTTTGGCTAGGAGGATAGCGTGTCTTCCTCGTTGGAGTACCCATTCTCCAATCTTCTTCATCAATATCATAAACATAATCCATAGATATAGGAGATTTAGTTGTATAACTATCACTATTAACTTTATTTTTCGTAATAGTAATATTTCTTACTAAATTATTTAAGGATGTGTTTGAGGTTGCATACTGGAAATCACTGATATGTATCTCTATTTCGTCTTTGATTAGTATGGTGATGCTAGTGCCGTTTTTGGCCAAACCTGCGTTACACCGAGCGACGTAGTCCCAATTGCCGTCGATGCAGCGCATGTAGGGAAGGACGCCCGGGTAATAGTAGTTAGGTCTGTTGCAATCCGGTCGTACGATTGTACCAGCCGGTTCATATTCTTGGCACTCCCTGGTACCGTCGGAGTTGCCGCTCAATAGACAGCGGTATTGCACACTCGGATCTTTGTTGAGACGACAGAAACCTGTGGAAAACGCATTCAAAAATAAGGCCAAACTAGTTTCTAGTGTATATTGTTCTTGAACGGGCGGAATAAAAACAATCGATATAAAGAATATATTTGTATAATTTGAACAAATTTTTTACTTTGCTTTTAAATGGTTTGTAATGACATCTTACTCACAATGGGAAAATATAATAGAATCCTTTTTTAAGCAGTCGCGTAAAAACAAACTTTCAGATAAGACAATTATAGTTACTTTTATGGTGTCATAATTATAATCAAGTTATTATGTACAATATTTGCTCCAATTTCCTTAATACTCACGCACGCAATCGTAGTCTGTAATTGGATGTGGCTGCCAAATTCCGTCGACACATAGTCTTCCTGGTGAGTTTGCAAGCCCATATCCGGGATTACAAGTAACATTGAGTCCAACTGAATAGAAGCTTTGTCCGGGAACTGCTCCACGAACATTGGTAACTATGTAGTGTCCGTTAATGGGATACGGAGGAAGCTTGCAAGATCCTCCTGATAGAGGGCTGTAAGGAAACAGTTTTTGCTATAATCTAAAAGTAAGTCAAGTATGAGCAGTAAATCTATGAAATACCAAACCCAAATTGATATGCTCACAAGTCATGACTATACAAATAATTTACATTAATATCAAAAAGATCAATGATAAGAACAACTGATATTTGAAATGTAAGAGAAAGCTCCGTTTATAATGCTTTGGCATAATCGACAAACGAAAAAAACATACACCGCTGAAGGTAATTCTTCAAAATTATAAGTGGCAATCATGAGCCTTCTAATATCATTAGACTCGTGTCGATAAAACTGCAAGTACTTACATGACAGGTGGAGTTACAGTAGATGTTCTGTTACACAGCTCGTCTGATTCATCAGAGCCATCAGCGCAGTCTTGTTTCTGTAATGTGAGTCAATAGTTATAATACCTATAATAGTTAGCCACACAATAACATTCTAGTAATGATAACATGAGCTGATAGAGGATTACAATACAATAAAATACACATGAAATCAAGTCTTCTGGTAGACACAGGCAATGTTCAATCCTAACGGTTGTTTAATGTATGTTTTCTTTTTTTTTTCAGAAAATGTGACATGTAGATTGAACAGTCAACTCACATTATCACAATCAGATCCTTGATCAACACAAGCTCCATAGGCGCATTGGAAAAGATAAGAAGCGCATGTCTTCCCAGCGCAGGCCTTGACGGTTTCATCTGATCCATCGGCGCAGTCTTTCACGCCGTCGCAGTGTGCAAACGCCGGAATATCTTTGCCATCGTCACATGTAAAGGTGCCCCTGATAATACAGAAGTAATAAACATTAAAGACCCCACCGCATATCTTAAGTTGGCTTCTACGTTTTATGTTATTGTAGGAAATGTGATCCTATTCCTGGTATTATCCAATACTCGATCCAGATAACTATTCTACCTAGTCCACTTAGTACTAGTGTTAACGTCGAACTAGACGTTACTTAATAATTAGGAACTTTATTTACTAACAAACGGGACCCGAACTACTTGCGCAACATTTAAACGCAAAACTTCAAAACTTATTATTGCTTTGTTCTAAACTTACACTTACCTGTTACTATATATGGAATTTAATCCGAGCTGTTAAAGTCTAAAATTGAAATGGAGAATAATATTAAGTTAACATGACGCGGACGTCTAATACTCGTGTAGGATTGAAAATGGTGTAATTTACAAATGTTGGATGAAATAAGTATTAAAGAAACCAGGACAGATACCCCCTAGTATTGAAATACTTTCTACGTAGATATATTCTAGTAAATACGCCTCATCTCTAGTAAATATATTGATACGTAATAAGATTCTATAATTGGCGTCAAAGCTGCATACTTATTTTTGTATAGAAATAACAAAACTGCTGTTGAAACTTTGTTGAATAAATAAATAAATAAATACTTTTATGTTGTTGTTGAAACAGATCTGAAGATCTGAACTAACCTCACTTCCTCGGTCTGATTGCGGCAACGTCGCAGCAGCTCATCGGAGTTGTCAGCACATTCTTGTACGTTGTTGCAGGGCGCCGTGCCGTCAACGCAGGCGCCATAAGTGCAGCGGAACCAGTTAGATTGACATCTTAAATCAAATTTATTAAAAGATTAGCTGTATTCAAGATAACATCCACTTCTAAAAACTCACATAAATATTTTATCTTTAAAAAACAATGAGTTCTACAGTTGTTCTAAGTTTTTAACAGGAAATATGATTTTCTAAATGAAATACCCTAGACTAGAGTGCCGAAGAAGTAATAATACAAACACAATGTACCCTCACCACATAGTATAATTGGAAGCCGAAAAAGAAGAATGAAAGTAGGAGAATACTGTAAACGTTCCAAGCAAAGAAGGCCTTTTCAATTTATAAATACTACATGCATTATTAATAAGATATTAGTACATAGATGACATATGTATGCACTGAGATTAAAGTTGTATTAAACCAACGCAATGTAAAGATGTAGTTTATAGTGCGCCGATTTAATTTCACCAGTCCAATGCCAATCAATCTCTCAATTTCTATCTTTATCACCTTATAGGTACTTTAACCTTCTTGGGCATTTCTGAGTGCTCCTTCCATAGCTTCTTTTCTAAGTTCTTAAAGAGACTACCAGAGGGTTTTTTGTATGTCTTCAATCTGGAATAGAAAATAAAATATTGAATCAAGAAACAATTACAAGTTTACCCTTATTTAACTAATAACGTACCTACCGAGAATATAATTCTCAATAAACACATCTTAAATGTCACGGTACATTATTAATTAAACAAACGCTTACTTTGAAAAGTTTCTTTGTCAATATTTTATTTTATATTGGAATAAGTGTTAGATACACAAAACACACATTATTAGTAACAAAATATATAATTACATGAAAAATATGATATAAAAGTATTTATTTTCTTATCTTGTATTCACAATAAAATAAATAATTAATAGCAATGAAAAAGCAGTGTGAGATATATTCTTCTCCGTTAAGTTAAAATATACAGCAGCCAAAATCACCTATTCGCCATTTTGATCAGGAAAATTCTAACCGAAACTATATTTTTCTTAATATTCTCAACATTTGATCAAAATTCCATGAACTTACACAAGTTATTGATATTAAAATATTGATGTTGATTGATGTTATTGATGTTAATAAAAAGATTCAAATGAAAATATCAGTAGTTTAATATCGAATTTGGAACTTATTTCATTTTTTTACACTTTACACACCATTAAAGGAGAAATTTATAATAACGAAAACATCTTCTATGAACTAGATTAATTTGAAATTGACTAGTAAAAATGCTCTTTTTAACATGAGGCCTGCAATTCGTTGTTTATGCAAAGATGATTAGCACTCATTTTATTATTTACATAACACATAAATTGATCTGACATCAAGGTAAAGTTGCGGAAGCACTAGCTGATATTATGAAAATAAAAAACACCACCTGAAACTCTAAAGAAAGTGTTCGTCTCCTGGCTATGGGGACAGATGATGAAAAATCGGTATTGGTATACTCACGGAGTATTCCTGCATAAAGCGAAGGTCTCATCGCTGCCATCAGCGCAATCCTTCATGCCGTCACATTTGCCATATATGGATATGCAGCTTCCATCGCGGCATTGCCATTGCGCTTTACTGAAATTTATGACATCAATAAAAGTTATCAATATAAAATCTTGACAACATGCGGTCGTACAGTATATGGTTTATCAGTAACAGTTACATTACCTACTCTCAGGACCTTTGTCTGTGCTTCGGGTTTTTGTTATATCAATAAAATAAATACTGTTGACAGTGACACGTCCTTCACTTTATAAACTTACTATTTAAGGCTAGTAAAATAAACAAACAATAAATGGGTAACATTAAATTATTTACCCAATAAATTGATTCTAATATGAGGTAGGTATAGGTATTTTTTCTATGCTACGCGTGCACTGTTGATTTTTGCATGGTGACTTTTTGTCTCCTGTCATTACTTGGGAAGAGTATAGAAATGACAGGAGCATGTTGGTAAAAAAAAGTAAGTCACTTCAATTTGACAATAAATCACCAGTGCGTGTGTCACCAGCCTTAAAGGTGATTGGAAAACTGTTTATATTGTAAACTTACCCGCACTTTGCTTGTCTCTTGTTACGCACTGGTACTACTTCTTCTGTGTGTCTGTAAATATGAATATTAAGTTATGCTACTATTACGTCATTATGAAGAAGCAGCATTAGGCAGACGAATTTGCAAAGTTTCCAGGAGCGACATAGACACGATTGACATCGAACAATAAAAGTTGGGTAATTGCAAAATTAATTCATTTCATTTTCATTTAAAATAAATTTTACCACTTGACATTGGCAGAATTGTGCGAAATGCGCAGATAAGCCATTAATAAAAGAAGAAGAAGAAGATCTAAAACAGGGCATCCCTCAATTAAGAAACCATCCATTATCATCCGTTTTACGGGGGAGATGATGATTTCACGAAAAAACGTCATTTCACGAAACATTTCGACCAAATAATATTGACATAATTATATCCATATAAATTTTTATTTTATGAATAATAATAGTGAAAATTTAATTAGTATTTGTTGAACAAGCACTGTGAAACGTTGCGACCATATGAGTTTGATATTGACTAAATGTAATATGTTAAATGCTGTTGAACCCAAGCCTTATCGAATATATTTTAAAAAGTCTCGTCAATTTATTATAAACTAGCTTTCGCCAGCGGCCCGCGTGGTGCCTACGGAAATGTTAAGTGGGATAAAAAGTCCTATTATGTGTATCCTATTATGTAAGTCAGCTAATACCCTATCTGTATACCAAATTTCATCAAAATCCGTTCAGTAATTTCGGCGTGATGGACGGACAAACATCCAAACAAAGAAATTTTCACATTTATAGTATAAGTTTTATCTTTATCATAAATAATTGAAACTTTCAACCCACAGGAACCTATTTTAAAATACTATCTATACATATCATATTAGCACCCCCTAATAGGTATCTGATAATAGGAGATCATTTGGCTGAGACGTAATATCAGAATGTTTCAATAATATCGGATATAATAAAAAATCTATTATATTCTTAATGAAAATTGCTAAAAAATTACTTTATCCTTGGTACTGTGAGATGGGATTCGAACTAACAACCTTTTACAATCCAGGCTATTGCTCTAACCACTGAGCTACCTAGGATCTAAGAGGATTGACAACTTTTTCGCTACTACGAAACGATTTTTTCATCAATGTTTCGACAATCCATCCAAACATCTCATAATACTAGGGACAAAGTGGACTTTTAAGCATTTTTCATCAAGTTTATAAAATACTAGCTTTCGCCAGCGGCTACGCCCGCGTGGACTCTAGGGAAATTTTTAGTGGGATAAAAAGTATCCTATTATCTAAGTCAGCTAACACCCTATCTGTATACCAAATTTCATCAAAATTCGTTCAGTAGTTTCGGCGTGTTTGACGTACAAACATCCAAACATCCCAATATTAATAGGATTTTCCAGTATAGCATTGTGAATCCAAAATTAAACTGTCTGATGGCTAAACTATATTTAACTTTTGTTTAATATTATAATATTCGAAACTACAAGTAGTAAAATAATTTATTTTGAAGGGAAAAAATAAAAATGGTTTCTCAAATTTGCCATAGGATACAGATGGATTCGGCTTAAAATAATAAGTAAATCAATATTTAAAAACCTTTGATTCTCGATTACGTTACTACAGTGTGGAAGCAGCTCATCAGAATTATCGGCACATTCTGGAACACCATTGCAGGGTGCGTCATATGCCACGCAGGCACCATACGAACAACGGAATTCAGTTCCATTGCATCTGGAATATTAAGAGCAAAAATAAAATTAACGCTACTCAAGCTGGACAAATAACTTAACTCTTACGATATAAAATTGGAGAGCTACTCCATCAGCTGCACTTACAAGTTATCCTCGCATATGACGGCGGTTTCGTCGCTGCCATCAGGGCAGTCAATTGCCCCATTGCACTTTCCGATGTAGCTGATACAGGTGTCGTCTCTACACCTCCACTCATCATTGCTGTAAAATATACCATAATTGACTATTTATATAATTGACTATGTATGTGTTAATTGTAGATATAAATAAAAGCTGTGTGGCGTAGTGGATAAGCGCCGCAGCTCGCGATCGTTGTTGTTAAGCAAATTTCACAAGGGTGGATCACGGGATGGATAATAAAAAAATTTATCTCCTGCTACTCCGTGCATCGGAAGGCACGTGAAGCCATTGGTCCCGGCTGCATTTGTAGGCTGCAGTTGTAGCCCTCCAATCCGCATTGGGCTCAGTTTCTTACTTAAATTTTTTATTTACACCACCGCAACAAGTAAAAAACAACACATTAATGTCTCATTAAACATTGAATGCCTTACGCTATAAGCCTTCGTCAATTTCATTTTACAATAATACGAGGGTGGTTTGAAAAGTTTTCGGTCGGGCCGAGAACTTTTCAAACCACCCTCGTACATAAGAAACCTGATATTAACCAATTCACCTATAAAAATTTGTATAATTAGCATATGAAAATATAAACATTAAGTAACATATTTGTCTGTAAATCTTTCTGAAAATAAAATAAATAAATAAAAGTATCCAGTAATTACATTTTGAGTATAATAATTTCTTAATGATATAAAGGTTAACAGTTACTGTTTTATAGACTTTGTTATCGTGTAAATATATGTTGATAGTATATAGAAAACTGTATAACTAAATATACTTTAATTATTTTCTGATTGGTCGCCTTTTAACTATGTAGATCAAGCAATACTACATTCTTGTAATCAACAACTATACTTATGTAGGCTCTTATACTTTATCGCGTTGTTTTCCTCAGTATACAAAAATTTGCTAAATTCGCAATGGTCCTAATTAATATTTATGAAGACGCGTATCATTTATAAGGTCAAGACTCCAATACTCACCGGCATAGAACCTGTGGAACTTGTTTCTTGGCGCGCTGCAAAACTGGCTGCCGAGGAGACCTGTACAGATGAACCTTCCGATCAATAGGTTTACCAAACTAAAGTACAATCAACAGCACGACAGGCTATACAATTTCTCAGAATTCTTTACTTGTTTTAAACCTTCATACTTTTAATGTAGAGTTTAAAATGAACTGGAGATATGATATTGGGATAACTTTACGCCGAAAACGCAGCCGTGTCTGTACACACGCACACACAGTAGCACGTCAATTTATTACAAAGTATCGAATATTCATAATCGACTTAGTACTTTCCCAGCAACAGTTTAAGGTTTATAATTGAATTTGACAGTTTTCGATGACATAATGTACCGTTAACTGCACTTCTTTTGTACTCTGGTCAGATCAGCGACAAAATACGTTAACACGTAAGAAAAATCGAATTATGTCAGTATTTAACAAGAGTCATATAGATTTAGAAATATTAAATTATGTTAAAGCGTTATTAAAAATGTCATGGGTAGAAAGGAAACACCCAATATGTAAACTTTTGCGAATGAACTATCTATTACTACTAATATTATGAATGAAGAGGGAAGATTGAATTGTTTCTAACGAATAAGCTCCAATACTACTGGATCCATTTTTAAAAAGCTACATCGTACGTGTACGTCTTACATTTTAAATAATGACTTCTCTCGACTATATATCCGAGTGTAAGTAACTATTATCACAACAAAAGTGGTCAATGTGTCTCGTCTGCTTTGACCTCATTCGCGTTACGGTACTCTGACGACAGACATCGCTTTTGGCGATAAAAAAAAATTCCATCGTGTAACATTTCTTTATAACGTCATGCAAATTTGAAAATTTTCTTCGAAATTAAATTTAAATAAGTGGTTATTTTGAATCTTTCAGTTTCCATTGCTAACAACATTTTTTGCTTGTTGATAAAAATTTCTTTTTACTTCTCTGCGGCACTGGCATTATTAAATATTAAATTATATTAATCCAAAGCTGTACTCTCGCCTTTTTAAGTGTGTGCTGCATTACACCTATCTTCTGTCTACTTAGAGTATTAAACCTTTAACTGTAATTTATATATGGGTGTGGGGAAGCGACTATTTACCTAACTCTCTAGACATAAAAAAAACATAACATTGGTAAGATGTATCGTATCCTATAGCTTAGAGTTAGGCGGTCACGCTGTAGCAATACGTAAATGTAATTTTACCCCTTGATCATCCCGCCAACGATACTGTAATCCCTAGTTGGACTCCCCTATTCCACATATCGCCCGTGTGCAGTCTGCCTGCGGGTCCATTTAACAGTTTAACGGGATTCCCCGACATTTCGCGCGGTCCGACTTTAAATACATAATTGTAGTCGTTCTCGTATTTATTTAGTTTTAAGTTAATAAGGTTTGGGGTTACGTTTTATTTGTTTCTTTCCTGTATATTTGGGTGTTTCCGTGATCGCCAGACAATACAAACTTTCATTGAAATTGTGTCGTATTATTAGCTTCAAACCACCACACAGAGATGTTTCCTTCCTTATGGATGATTAATATTTGTATTAGTACAAGTCCTATATTCTGCTATTTTTTATGTAATAATATTATTTTATGTAATCTTCGGATCTCAACTATGTATAGGGCCGTATTACACATATTAGAGACCCTAACACTAAGATAATGGGCCCCTTATGTCTAGAAAAGTGCACTAGTTTATTAGAATAGACAAATAACGTACCTACATATGCAAAATTTGAGCTTTATTTTTATTTCGTCACAGTAACACTGGATATTAGGATGAATATATAATAATATTATCCACACTAGTCCCATCTATGCTGGATATCCAGAGGTATCCTTCTAGATTTTAAAAAAATTATTATTTACATCATTAAAATCTGTGTTTTCGAGCATATCACATTCGTCCAGGCAAGTATTGAATAACTATTAATGTAATTATCAAAATATATGTTATCTGTTGTTTGGTAATCAAGTAGGGACTAGGAGGCTCCAATCAGTCTCGGGGCCCTGGCACGTGCCCATTGTGTCCAGTGGGGAAGACGGATCTGACTATGTACATATAATTAAATAATTGTACATACTTATATTTTGCCATTGTACTATCAATGGTGACAGATATATATTTTTTGTAATTATCAAAATATGTGTTATCTGTTGTTTGGTAATCAAGTAGGGACTAGGAGACCGCAATCGGTCTCGGGGCCCCGGCACGTGCCCGTGGTGCCCAGTGGGGAAGACGGATCTGACTATCTATATATAATTAAATAATTGTACATACTTACATTTTGCCATTGTACTATCAATGGTGACAGGTGTATATTTTGTGATCTAATACCAATAACTGCATCATAACACTTACATTAGCAGAATTGCTTTAATGGATTGTAATTGTACAGAATGAAGCCCTATTTAAAGTTTTGTTTTAGTAAGGGATTTAGAATAAGTTAATTCGAATTTGATTCGCATGGTATATGAATAAATAATACTGACTTGCCGATGAAACATGTAGCCTCGTCACTGTTGTCATTGCAGTCAGCAATACCATCACAGTACCGGTTCAGTGGTAAGCATGATCCATCTTCGCAGGTGAATTCTGATACTGAACTGCAAACGATTGGTTAAAGTTTTTAAAATGTTGTAATCAAAACATCCGTTCACTAAAGCAATAAAGTTATGACGTGATTTTATCTTAATTTAGTGTTTCGAATTATGGAACGAGAATTTAATTGCAGATTTACGCATTAGATTCGATTTTAATTGGCGTCAAAATTACCTATACTTTTAAAAATATGCTATATCCGCATACTAAGTATACCTTCTATTATTAAACCTTAAACTCTAAACCGATGTTAACACTAGCATTACTTGGAGTGTGCATTGGAAATATAAGAAAGATGAAGTAACAGTTAATACCTTAAAGTATTGAATAAACTTTTTTTTATTAAAATTATATCCCGTTTTTTTTGACATTTTGTAAGTTAAATTATGAAGTGTAAGTAATTCAATTTCATAATAACTATATATAACTGTATATTAGTAACATGCTTTGAAGAACAAGTAGATGTTAAAAGGTTTCATTAAACTGAATTTTAACGTTACCTGCAACGATCCCGGTTTTGTGGGACTATTTTGGACCAGACAGACGAAGCTCCTGAAAATATTAATACTATCAATAAAGTACTAAAAACTAATATTAGATTCTTACATATAAAATTGATGTTTAGAATGGGAGGAACAAAAACTCGAATATTTTTTAATATAATATATTTATTTAATCAAAGTATAAACCATAGTATCTATGCAATTTTTGCCATCTCATAGGTAGTTCATTGATCCCCTTACTAAAAAAACCCTTCCGGACGTGAATCATTAAAATCTTTGAACCATACTCTAGACTAGATCATATATGGTGGTTTAAAATCATCAAGGTGCTGAATTGGCTTTGATAGCACAGTCCCAAATCTTAAGTTTATTGAGAAAATAAAATTAATAAAAATACTACAATTAACAATAAAATTGTTTTGAGTGGACAATAATATTATTGATAAATTAAGTAATTTTTAAATTATATTTAAATACAGGCATAAAAAATCATTTCGGGAACGCGTCCCAATATACGATACTCAACAAAATACTCAAAATTTACGAAAGGTGAGTACTTTCCATAACTCGTATAGATCTTTGGTAGGAAATCGGACAGGTTTAAAAGCTATTATTTAGTAAGTCAAAATCTACTGGGCTAAGGAATAGTAAACAGTCTTTAGAGTAGCCCCTACCTTTAAGTTTACAGAACACAAAAATTAATTCCCTAATCTTAGAGGTCACGGATTTTATGTGCTCTCTCCATGACATCACACTATCAACAGTCACCCCCAAGTATATTACAGAGGAGACTCCAGAAAATGTTTCACAATTGCATGCTTGATCAGGAGAATCTATATATGTTCATGTTGAAAGGTTGTTCGGCTGATAGTGCAATCTTGGAGCAAATGTGACAAAGCAAGATTTTTAAGCATTAAGTGTAAGAAGATTATTTGCTAGACACTCTTTGACTACACGTAAAGCAAGTTCAGCACGGACACGAGTTTCCTCCCATTCTTGATCCTGCATGAGAATGGCTGTGTCATAAGCATATTTTACAATTTTACCGTTTTCAAGAGGCAGCTGGCATAAATCATTAATATATAGCAAAAATACGGTAGGTCCGAGGACGCTACCTGACCGATTAAAGAAAATATACATGCAAAAGATCTAATTTTTTGCATGTATATTTTCTTTCGGAACAAAAAACGTAACAATAAGAAACAAAAATAGTCACTTTTATCTACCAAGCTTCTGTACATCTGGTTCATCTTTGATCCAGTGAAGAATAGAACTTTCCATTTCTCGGATGAAAATTTTCCCATTAACTATCCAACAATACTTATATTCGTTACTCCTTGCAAAAACCCTAGTGAGATAATAAAGTCTTTTCTTTTTGGATGCTAGGATTTCTGATATATATATTGGTTTAGTAGTGTTAGAAAATTTTAAATGTTCATTGATCAGTCTACCCTTTGACTTGTTGAAATTCTTGTGACCATTCAATATTTTGTTCTTTGTAAAAACATTCGTGAACTCTACGATAATCGATTTAGTTTAAAGGATTTTATTAATTATACTAAAAACGTCTTTAACATCCAAGGCTTGAATAGATACATGGATTAAATTACCAATCTCGGCTACGGTATTTAACAAAGAGGGTTTAGTTTCGGACTTAATAACGGGAATGTTTCTTATTGTAGAAGCGAGTGCTTCTTTCGATTTTTTCTAAATTATTTTCGAGGGATTTAATATAAACTTTATTATTCGCTATTTCCTGTTTGAGCGTATTTAACTGATCCAGCATAGAATCATATTTATTTGATAAAAACTCCATGGAACATCTTATCTCGCTATTTTGGATTTTTATTTGGATTAATCTTTGATAACGGACCAAATCTTATCCAGTTTATCTTCCTGTTGTGCCTTAAATTCACTAAAGAATCCTTTCATTTCAGTCATGAAGTTCATTATTTGCGAATCTGAAGTAATGGTGCGCTTACGCAGACGACAGAAGTCGTTGCTAAGCCCTGTCCATTTGTACGGTGTCATTTGTATCTGATACATGCGATTCACAATCTGATGCAGGCGCCGCTATATGTTTTTGTAGAGGTAGTAGTAGGGAACATCTTAATGGCATAATTTAAATTATTCACACTACAGATACCAGGCAAAAAAGCATTATCTGTAGCAAGACGCACAGGGGTCAACGGACATTAGCTGCTATCGACGATTTGGAACGAAACAACTTTCCGTCCACTTAAACAGGACCTCTGGCGTAATCGTGTAAAATTAAGCGAAATAAAAACTCACGCACTGCTACCTCGAGTACATTTATTGACTTCTTGTCCTTATGCGATCCTATTGTTTATTTTTCTATTTATTCGATTTAAATGTAATTATCGTATTTATTATAATGGAAAACTTTGTAAGGGGGCATTATTAAAAACGTCTGTACTCCACAGAGGTCCGAGGTGTAAGGGAATATATCGCATTTTTTATACAAAATCTAGGTTTAGTAATGGATACTAAAATAATAATTATTTTTAATTACAAAAATAGTTTGTTTAATACACATCATAACACTATTTAGGGTAGTTGGTGAAGAAAGTTATTATTTCAAACACTCTCCAATAAAAATTAAATAAATTTTATTTTTATCCAAGTAACTCATCATTTATGTTAGAAATAAAGTGCTAATAATTCAACCCACCCGTACAAGTGTTATTTCCTTTTTACTGTCATTAAATCAGAAGAACCAGGATGGATAAGGTACAGCACTCACTTACACAATTGATGGAGATGTTCCACACTAGGATGACAAACTTTGAGGCTGAATTGCACAAAACTCCAGCTACATCCACTAGTAATACCACCAATCTGGCCACAGAATTTAAATCCTTCAAATCCTTCATCTTAGAGACACTAAATGGATTGCAGTGCCAAATTCACATTATCTCCAAATCTATGGACAAGCTCGAAATGCAAGGACGCAGGAAGATGCTGATGATTCATGGGATTCCAGAGCGTGATGGTGAAGACACCTCTAAACTTGTAGCGAGTACTATCTCAAGCGCCTTGAATATTGATAGCTTCTCGTTAAAAGACATTAAGAGGTCTCATAGATTAGGACGATCAGCATCCGGTTCCAAGTCTCGCCCAATAATTGTCAAATTCCAGTCAATAGACGTTCGTGACAGGGTCTGGTTCACTAAATCCAGATTAAAGGGCTCGGGCCAGACACTGACAGAATTTTTGACACAGTCTCGTCACAGTGTTTTCACAGCAGCGCGTGAGAAGTTTGGCGTAAACAGGTGTTGGACATGGGAAGGAGTCATCTATGTGCTTGGTCAGAATAATGCTCGGGTACGTATGTATGTTTTTTATTTTTGTTAATTTTATCATTCTTAGAAAAACGTTCCCGAAATGATAATTTTCTACAAAATATCGACTTAAAAGTTAATTAAAAGAAAGTATAGGTAGTATTCTGTGCGTTGCCCTTTTAAAATATGCAAATTTTGTGATAATATGATGAACTACGAGTTATTATTATAGTCTTTATTTATTTTTTACATAAAAAAGATCTTTAAATTTGCAACCTGGTTATTTTGAGCCAGGTATAGTAAATTTTTCCTATGTAAATAATCTATCAATAATAACGTAAGGTTGCGTCCTAATAATTGAGAAAATAATAGGCTGATGACAATGATGACGAATTTAAATTGTCCTGCAAATGTTTCCATTCCTTTGATTAAAGAATAATATATATACATAAAATTTTTATAATACTTTTATTATATGCTTTAACTAAAATAAAAAGTAGGTACGTAAAAGCAACAAAACCCATTTAATTTTAATAGACAACAGATTCTTCATACGGTACCTGCATACTACAAACGTTCACTTCTCACGGTGAGTCAACGCAAATTGAATAGTTAACGTAATTGTAACTCAAACTCGCATGTTTTCACCGTTCGATCCGTTCGGCGTTTACTCGGTGACGCGGTAATAAAGTCATACGCTTAAGTTAGTGGAACTCAAACTAGGCACTCTGATGACGTAATATTTCCGCCAACATTTACGAAACAAATTGAACATAAGAAAATACGCTTTGACTTAAGGAAACCCCCGTCCAATATGAGAGCAAACCGAGCGAGATGATGACCTCGCGCATCACCTACCACCGAGATGGGTTTTAGTGGGTATTGATAATGAACTGACAAGCCCCTTTCACCCCTGGGGGCCTATTCTACTAAATAAATGTTGTTTGTATGTATATAACTGTATATAACTACCCCTGGGGGCCTATTCTACAAAATAAATTTTGTTTGTTATATGTTTGTATGTACGTATGTCACTAAGTAGAATGTAAAAACCATTAAAACTGTAGTTTCGTTCGGTTTCGATCCGTTTTCTTTATTTTATTTAGTAGAATTGGCCCCCTGTAGAACAAAGTCAACAAAACATTGACTTCGACGATACAATACACAGTTCGATGAGTGGCGATATGTATCTTTAACTTTCAACGGTCACATGATGCTTTGGGTTCATGTCATCCTGCTTTACGAATAGAGTAGAGGTATGATTGGATATAAATAAATATTCTATATCATAAAAATCTTGTCCTCTTACTTGGTTTTTTGTTGATTTGGTACTTGGTAAATTAGTAAAACCTACTTCTGATGACGATACTATATTAATAAAACAAATCAAAACAGTTTTATATTCGTATTTCAATCCAATTAAATCCCTACTAAGATATAAAATCAAAACGGTGATTGTAAAGTACCAGACAACAGGTTTTAAAGTAATTGTTTTCAAATGAATTGACCGATTATGACCTTTATGAAGCAGGCGATAAGAGTGGCTGATAAAAGACGTATTCGCTCAATCAAAACTAGTTGGAAACAACAGGAAAATGTGAGATTATTATAACAAAACTTCTTAACTGTGACTAATTAGATTTGTATATTTTTCGATAAATAAATTCCTACCTTTAAGTAAGTAACTTTAAGTGTTCTCACTGGTGGGATTCAAGCACAGCTGTTCCTTGTGGATAGTAACCAAAAATACATAACCCACAAAACAGGAACTATGCGGATTTGGGGGTGTTAAAGATTTTTTGGTCATCCATCCGATACTGAATTCGCGTGTATATATTATCGCACTCTAGCGGCATGTCATACCAAAACTCGTTGAACGTTTGTTGTTTCGATTTTAGATCAGTGTGATTTTTATTATATCTACGATATTACAAAGGTTTAAGCTGTTATTAATACAAAATTCATATTATACCTACATCATTCCCATAAATCTAAAACTCTCAGATGACAATAGTATGTTAATATCGCAATCACTTGAAATTAATAAAAATACCATATTTATAACCATTTTCCCATTTTACACTGACTCACTAGTTTTATCGTTTAAATTCTATTTGCTTACAATATTTCTTCGAAGTACACAACAATACGTCAGGCTATCACAAAATGTCACATTACCGCAATGTTAATGTTTAAAATCAACTGCAGAAAACTAACAGTTTCGTTTATCTTCGAATTTAGTTTTGAGTTTCATGAACTTCATTGACATTCATTCCGCAAAAATTAATTTTATTATGACGTAATTCAAGCTGGATTAACCACTTCAACATATAAAATAGACTTATAAATAAGTATTTATTCTGTATATCTATAGATAGCATAAAACAAAGTCACTATCCGCTGTCTGTCGCTGAGATCTTTCTCTTTTTAGGAAGATTTATATGTATATTAAATAGAAGGGCCACGCGGGCAAACCCACTGGCGGAAAGATAGTAACTATGATATATATATATAGAAAACTTACCGAATGTGATAAGAAGGAATACATAAAAATACATGTTCACAACTACACAAGGTCACATAAGGCACAACAAAAAACTTTACTGCATTATTTGTTTATATTTAAGAATTATGAATTTTACACAATAAACACACTTAAATACGGCTACCAGATAATTCACTAACCGTATTATAAGTTATTTACGTATTTTTAAGATATGCCTCATTTATCACAGTCGACCGGTCATCGCGGAAAAACCGATGTTACTGAGCAAGTTACCCACGTAGTGTCGACTAATACTTTTCCTTGGCAGTGAATAAGAATAATATCAAAAGATTAGTAAACCATTTTAAGGATGTATATAACACAAGACGAATTCGAATGAGATGGTAAAATAGGTTATTTATCAAAACAACTCTATGTTGGTGATAAAAAAGGTTATGCGAAAAATGAGTAAACTAAGTGCATCAAATTTGTTA